CAGTTTACATCTATATATTTTATAGAGAGCTTAATGTTAGTGCCGGGCCACTGAGTATCTTCAGACATTTTTGTGGACTGAGGATATAATAGCATATTTTCAGTGAAATCAAATGCACCCAAAGTACCTGTTAGCATAAGAATCTGCTCTAGTATAGTCTGGTTAAATATTAATGTAAAGACTTTTGCTGTTGCACATTTTTATCCATAATTTCTTTAATTTGGTATTATGCGTTTTTGCATAATTCAAATATAGACATCTGGACAATTTACTCGGCCAGCATAATGTTATGTTTTACTGAAAGTGTCGGCGTACTGTATTCTCAGGACTGTGTGCCAGCAGTGAACTGTTCAATATTTAAATAAAAGAATTGAGTTTCTGCATTGGAAAGTGTAACACAAATTTAACTCCTCCAAGAGTTTCTGTTCATTAAAAGGGCAGTGTACTAATTACATGTACTGTTTAATATGTGCTGGGCCAGTAGCAGCATATGTTTCACTCTAATTGTAGATTGGTCCAGAAATGTTAGAAATGTCCTTCGGGCTTATTTTCTTTTTTGATTTAATTCAATAACCTATTGGCCAAACAGGTAAACTTGTGTGTTTCCATTTTTACATGTGCATTTACAGAAATACATTTAAAGAAATCCTATGTGTCTTAGAGATGTTCCTTATCATGGGCAGTTGTATATGATGAAGATTAAGTCTACAGCTCAAATAAGTACTTTAGACAAAGATTTTGTTCTTAAACTACCAGAACGTATCTTAGCTGCAAGCTAAGAGATGCCACACTGTCAGTTAAGCAAACTTAATACCTCAGTGCAGAAGGGATGAAATTTCACAATAGCTTTTATATCTCTCACAGAAGTGTTAATGAATTTACTATATCAGGATATTTCTGACCGCTGAGTCAGAGCTGAATTAAAAGAGACTATCATTTAAATATACAATATTATCCTCTTATTTTAACTTTGACTCAAGGAAGTGGTTTTCTTATGTACTGACTCAGAATTATTTTCTGAGTTTCTACTCTTCAAATGAGTCCATTTGATCTAGCTGCTTCTAAAGTACAAAACCTTTTATTCTCCTCACACTTTGACCCGCAGCGGCTCATTACACCCGTGTGTTATTACATCAATACCGTACATCATTCCCGCACTTCACAGAGCTCAACTCTCCATCACGTATTTCTGATATTAGTTATTTTAATAATGCTTTGAAGTCGCTATCTCAAACTAACTTAAGCCATCACTGACTCCATATGGTACAGGTTACCTTAAGGATTTTAGTACTGTATATATATACATATACGCTTTTTAACCGATTCTTCCTCTACCACTAAAAAAAATTAAATCTTTCTTGGTGCCTAATTTGTCCTCTGTAATAGAGATGGAACTCCGCTGAAGTTGCTGAAAGCTGAACATATAATGGAAAGCAGACATACGCATTAAGATCCCCATGCTGCAACTGTTACTCATGCAAATTAAGGCCTTGAAGTCAGGAGGACTATTCATATTGGTAGGAGCTATTTGTGCAAGTCAGACTTGCAATATCAAGACCTACTTGAGTATGCACCATTTTATTATGCAAACATATGTAAGCAAAGCTATCAATCAAAAAGCCTAGTCTGAAAGATAAAATGCAAGTAAGAACGGAAATTTAATTAACTATAGTATCCAGAAAAGAGGTTTGAGATGGAAAATTCTGCCAAGTACTCTAGGTAAGGGTATGAATGAATAATTGTTGAAATAATAATTCTTCAAATTTCAGCAGTGTAACTACAGCTACCCAGCTTCCCTAAACACACACAATCCTTTCATAATAAAAAACTATCACCATCTTTTTTTTTTTTTCCACAGTGAATGTTTTACGAATGTTAAATACTTTTGTTCTAAGGAAATTCAACCAGTATATGGCCTGTTTTGCCTCTTCAGCTCTTCAGAAATTGATTCATAGTCAAAGGACCATTCCCTGAGATGCCCAGTTCCTAAAGATTCTTGTCCTGCATCATCTTCATCAGCCTCTGCAATATCCCAGTAACTTTCTACTCCTGAAATCCCTCAAGGCCAGAAAACTACCTGGAAGCTGCTCCCTCAGGAGTCTGTCTTGGGACTTACCCTTTTTAATATCTACCTCAGTGACCTGGAGGAGGAGACACAAAGCAGCCTCATCACGTTTGCAGATGGCACCACACTGAGTGGTTCCAAGGGAAGGGCTGCCAGTCAGAAGGACCTGATGAGCAGGCCAACAGGAAATTAATGAAATTCAAGAAGGACAAATGCAAAGTATTGCACCTGGGATGGACTAACTGCAACAATACAGGCTGGGAACTACCTAGCAGGGTAGCAGAACTGATGGAAAGCACATGAGTGTGGTGGTCAGTAGGGAACTGGGATTTAGTAGTGCCTCCCAGCAACAGTGAAGACCAACAGCATAGCGGGTTGCATAAACAGCAAAATGGTAGATCAGCAGTAACCAATACATCGAGGGAAGCAATTGCTCCTTTACACTCAGCCCACCTCTAGAGTACTGCAGTCACTTTTGGGTTGCCCTGTACAAGACTTGGAAAAACTCAAATCCATGGAAAAGTCACCACAGATGGTTATGGGGTTGGAACATATGACTTATATGACAAGAACCTGAGGCTTTTTTATCCTGGAGAAGAGAAGGCTGAGGGGAGAGGTTATTGAGAAGATGGAGCCAGACTCTTTACTGAGGATGCCTGGAAGAATGAGAAATAAATTCATAAACTGAAACAGCAAAGGTTCTGACAAGATATAGGGAAGAATTCTTTATTATGCAGATAATTAAGCACTGGAACACTTTGCACAAAAAAAGTTGCATACTCTTCCACCTTCCAGGTTTTTAAGACAGCCAGACAATGCCACAAGCAACCTTGTCTGAATTTTAATGTTGACCCAGCTTTGAGCAAGAGGTTGGATGAGATGACCACTCAAGTTCTCTTCCAACCTGAGTGATTCCATGGTTCTTGTCCTTCTGCATAGTTCCAACTTTGTCCCATATTCCTTATTATTGCACAATACTAACACATGTCTCTCAGTCCATATTTGTCCAGCTTGCTAGCTGGGCAGAGTCAACCCACCCTGAGGACAACCTGGCCAGTCTGTACAAGAGTGCTGACTGGCAGCCAACCAGAGAAAAGAGCAAGAAAAAGGAAAAAGTGGGTGATTTCACCCTCAACTGGGACATACGGAGGGGCTATCTAGCTACTGATTTATCAACAGATTCCAAAGTTACTGAATAGAGAGAAAGAAGGCGAATAGGCTGGCCAATCACTTTGGAGAACAGGCCAAGTAAGAAAGAACACAAAACAAATTTCCCCCCCAAATGAATTAGCGTCAAGAAACCAGACTACAAAACCATAAATTTTTAAAGTCAACTTGTCCTGCACAACATTCAGCATGTGTGGAAGCATCATCATTATCTT